ACAGGAGTTCTCCCCAACTAGTCCGCAGAGTAGAGAACACAACGGAGCATCAAAACCCATCCAGTCGGTTTGCGGCGTGTGTTTTCTGTGACAGTTTGATGATTTTTTCCCCATCAGGTCAAAGATTTTATTTTCCCCGTGCACCCCGGCACTCAGCAGGTTGCTCACAGGCCGGTCTCTACTACGTCTGTGCTCCTTAATGGAGGCACATCAGCCCAGCTGCCTGTTGTAAATTGACTTGTTCAGGCGGTCGCACCAGGGGGTGGGAGCTGCCCCACCATCAGATCTGCTTTCATTTAAAGGCACACCGCCTTAGTAAGAAGACCAGGAATTATCCACTACCTCAATCAGCCCATGACTAAACCTGAGAGGCTTCTTATCCCCGTATGGCTTCTTCTTTTTTAAAAGAAAAATTAAAATGATGCATTAAAAGGCTGCGTTTCAATCACACAGCAGCTCGGGGGGAAAAACCACAGAGATGTACACAGCTCCAGGACAGAAATAAATATAATTTGCTTTTATCTGGAGTGATTGATTACAGGTAGTAACTATAGTAACTGAGCACTGAGGAGAGAAATAGCACAAAGAAGTTCTACAAGCTATCGACAAGCCAAGACGGTGTCACAGGGAAACAGTGCAGGCTGTCTGAATCCCTCCGACATGCGAGATTATTTACTTTTTTTCATCTGAGGAGATTTACATCAACTCAGGAGGCATAATAAGCCCGCCCTAAGATGCTGGAGCAGCCATCCGACAATAGGCGAGAGGAAAATATGGAACAAGTGTAGTTAGTCAATTCCATTCTCATTCTCAAGAGCAGAACAGGAATTTAACCATTTAATCCCTCGACAAGGATCAGCTAAATAGAGAGAAAAAGACTCGACAGATTAATGCCAAATCAGAAAGGCTCAGGGCTAGATTTGATCCCTTCTATTGATTTCCTTTTCTCTTACTTTGCTGATACCGCGATCCGAGTTGAAACAGAGAAGAATTTCAACGATTTAAAAGCATGAAATTGCAGCTGCAGCCTGCTGATAAATGTGTTTTCCATCCTGATCCAATATGGTGACTGTCTGGTGTGAAGACAGCAAAGGAGGAGGAGAGGACACCTGACAGACACCAGAAAATAATAATAACCTCATGAGAAACGCTGCATATGATACTGAACTGCGTGTTCCTACAAACAAGACATCTGGCAACCTTAGACTGCTCGTGTCTGGGACAAACATTACTTGTGATATTTGACTAAACTTCCCTCTCCTCTAAAATAGCTTCATTCAGCGACGGAGGGGGGGATCGGATCCAAACCATTTCATCATCACACAGACATGCACACAGGCTGTAAGCTCCTCACTCGGGGCCTTGAACACATTCTTTCGTTCCCTATCATGACTAAAAATCCCGCATATAAACTACAGCCTCCAAACAATGGAGAGGGGCGAACTTAATTTAACATTCATTCACTCTTTAATACTATTTGTGCAGTCTTCCGCATGCAGAGAACACTCCATTTTGCTATAACCTTTCCATTATTTAGGTTCAGTGCTTATTGTCATGTTTTATTCATCTATTTGGTGATACGCAGTCTTTATGCAGAGACCACAGGGGCTGGAAATGTGCATCGTGAACTTAGAAAAGAACAGAGAAAAATATGCCTCTTGGATCAACTGAAGTTGTGTAAGGACCAAAAAAAAATAATGCTCGTTCGAGAGCAGCTCCTGAAATTAATGAAGGGCCACTTCTAGAATCATAGCATAGGAGGAGAAGAAAAAAAAAAGAAAATCTACAGAAACATTTCACGCAGTGTTTGGAGAAGGATTTGCTAAAGAGCTGACAGCAGAACCACAATGAGCTAAACGCTGAGGGAGATGAAGTTTGAGTGGCCAAGTGCCTCCATTAGTTCCTACGGCAAAAAGGCGAAGCTTAATCTCCTGTCAGCTCCCCTCAAGCTCGTCTCCCAGGACTCGGAGCGCTCTCTCCCATCCATCACCTCAGCGGGGACCAAAGGGAGACTCCCCGAAGGAATGAGGATCAAAGCAATTTGCATTCACACTCGAACCATCAAGGCCCAACAATCGCACGGCGACACCGCGGCCGTTTCATTACATCACGACTGTCACGCGGATGAAACGCAAAATGCCACGGATCGGCAATTACAGTTTACAGAGGAGAAGAAGAAGAAGAAAAAACAAAAGTCAAAAGCGCTAATTACCATGTTCCAAAGGCCAGCGGTATTCCTTCCCTGCCTGTTTGGCTGCTCGACATCAAACTACTGTTTCAACACTGTTTATGAATGTAGCTGCTATTGTCACCCCCCCATCGACCCCCCGACTCCCCCGATCAATCAATCAATCCGGCTGAAGTGCATGACATTTTAAACAGAAAAGTAGACTTCAATGTGCTTCAAATGAGGCCGAAAAACAAATGCGGCCCAGCGTGCCAACGCTCGGCTCCAGTCGAAATCAACCTGCTGTGTCCTTGTGCGGAGGAAAGCAGGTAAGTTAGCCGAGCGAGCGAAACCCGTAACACCTGGAACAATGGAGCTGTGTCAAAATGAAACAGGAAGCGTCTCGCGGGACGCCACGCGAGCGTCGGAACAACAACAATTAAAAGGCCGGCGACACGCAAGCTAATGCAGCTGTGTTGTGATATTACCGGAGGAGCTAATCGTTCCAGAGAAACTCTTCAGAGACGCCTGACGGAACCGAACGCCGGGGGTCCGCCGCGCAATGATTTTAGCTCGCGTTGCTGCCAAGTTATTACAAAGATTACAACTCGCTGCTACACAGTTTCCAATCCAGAATAATGGGACGTTAAAAGCTGATGCTCGTCCACCGTTCGCAGTTCATTTCCCAAATGTTAAATCCAACTAAGATGAGGAATTACAGCGGGGAAAAAATCTCCTTATCCCAGCGCTCACCGTGATATCTATATGGGCTCGCACAGCACCCGGCACCGGAGGATGGAGCCAAGCCATAAACAACCACCTGGTTGCTAACTCAATTCACAGTCAATTAAATATCAGTCTGGAACACAGGAGAGACTGAGTGCTCATATAAGAACGCAGGAACAGAGCTGCTGTTATTATTCACAGATCCATTATTCTCAATGTTCCTTTTATTTGATAATCTATTTGGCGAGCGGTTCGGAATATTTCTCTGTTTATGAATTTGGCACTGTTGTGTTTTCCACAAATGGCTGCTTACCGCGACAAGCGCAAATGGTTTCCCCTCGTGGATGAGTGCAACAGGGGCTTTTTGGGTTTTTTTGCTGTGACTTTGCATTTGCTTGGGCCCTTCCCACTTGTTGTTGTGTGTCGGTAATGAGGGAAAAGTCTGGAACATGTTGTATATCAATTAAGCCATCAAAGGCAGTGGGCATTTATGGCAGCGCCCTTTAACCTCAGGGTGAAAGACCAAATTCTTGTTTTTGCATGTCAAAAGAAAAATGGTCCAAACAACTGCTGAAATGAAAAGAAAGAAGGAAAAAAAAAGAAAAATCAAAGCTGTTCTCCTCATGAAGAACACATTAATTATGTAGCAACTTTGGTTTGAAATAAATTAAAGCAATAAAAAAGAAATAGGAACAAAGTGTACGTCTAATCCCGCCTCGAAAAAAAAAAAAAAACACCTCCTGCTTGACTCAAATGAGACATTTCCAGGAAGCTTTAAGTGCAATTTTTTGAGACATTTTCCACTCCCCTTGATTGAACAGCTTCAAAAGATTTCCAGCACAGGATTCCCAAGGGAACCAGTTAATCCTGATCTTCTCCACAACCAAAGGGATCATCTCAATATAAATCAGACAGGGCTTTTGATCAAAGTATTCAATCAGTCTTAAACACATGACGCCACAAGGAGCCTCGCAGCGAACAAGGTCAACATCTTTGGTTGTTCTCGAGCAAGGGGGGGAAAAAGCAGGACGTGCCAAAACATTTCACTAGACAAGGGCTTTATTAGGCTCGTAGGGGATCACCGAAGTAAAGATTACAGGGAGTAAACATGTCCAGGCTGCAGAGAGGGAACCTCAGCGGCCGTCAAAACACCATCTGACATCTCTTGACCCTCGTCCATTTCTTCCCTAAAACGAGGGGGCGCCAGACAAGAGTTTAGCAAGATGTAAACAAACCAGTAAACTTGCATCTAAGCCTCAAAAATCCTTCTGCATGATGGGACCACAAGCATGCACGCACATGCGCAATCGCTCGCTTGTGTTGTTTCCCAATTAAGACGACTGCCAATGCGAGCAGGACGAATGTTCCCAATAAGGTTCCAATACATTTATGAAGCAAGTGTTTAGATAATCAGGCCCACATGGTGGAGCTTTAATGTCACCATGATCAACGTCAAAGCCTCCATGCATTCACTCATTCATCAAAGCACCGGTGACACCAGCAACACACCCAGAAACTCTCCTTAAATGTCACCACACATCCTGAGTCACTCATCTGCAGAAAAGAGCATCAAAACAAGAGTTTGAGAATCAAACATCTGAGCCCTGATTAGCCCCTCAATTTACACCAAACTATCATTTCACTGTTCAGCTACCAGGCAGGAGCTCAGGATAACACGTTTCAATTATCATTCCAGTGCACTCTGTGTCTCTGAGTTGCCATTACAATGAAATATTGGGGAGAAAAAAAAAAACTTGCAGGCTGCTGGCCTACATGGCTCGCACATATCGCCATCTGCCTGCTGCCCGGGTAAGTTCATTATTTGGCAGCCAAATAAGTATTCTGCAGCCGTTTGTACGAAGGGCTGGATTCAGAGACAGAAAACACTTTGCAAAATGTTGCCCTCTACTCTTCTTTCTTTTTTTTTGCGCATCTTGCTGCAAAAACACAAACGCGTGCAACCAAATCGATCCACATTTACGCATTAATCAAGTGTCATTACGGATCCTCATGCAGCACACACACACACACACACACACAGCCAGGCAGAGAGCAGGGAGGTCAGGATGAAATAAGGCAGATGATTCCTCTTGTTTCTGCGGCTTACCTTGGATGTGCAGCGCCAACAGGAGCACCCATATCCCCACACACAGCGCCATGGCACCTCAACTATCCGGATCTCGTCTGATAACCTGAGAGTGGATGGACAGCGCTCACTCGAGACGACAAAGACCACGCATGCAACTTCTGCAAAAAATTAAAAAACAAAAAAAAATAAAAAAAATCCCACTCCGGACCCAAACTAGTCGAGCTCTCTTACTGAGACTTTCGCAAAACTAGAGGATCGGCGGTGCGCTCCTCCGTAGCAAAAGCATCAATTTTCACGTCTGCGGCGGTTCCCCCCTTTGGCTGGCGGGGAGTTTGCACTAAGGAGAACCTGGCTGGGTTCTCCCCCCCCACCCCTCTCCGCCTAAAATGAGATCCAAAGCGGCTGCAGCAGCTTTGCCGTGGAGGTGATGAAGTGTTTGAGGCAATAGGAGAGGAAAAAGGAGCGCTGGGATGTCATCAAAGGAGCTCTTCCAGTTTAACCATGTAGCCTTTGTTGCTCCATCCACCGCAGCGGCTGCTCAACTCTCTCTCTCCCCCCCTTCTCTTCCAGTATTGTGGATCAGAGGTAAAGAAGTGGGCGGGAGGTCCTCGATCGATGCTGTGCTTGGGAAGTTTCCAACACTTGGGGAGAGTTTCCTCAGAGGAAACGTCGCCTGCACCGGAGGACGAAAGAGGAAAAAAAAAAAAAAAAGGAGGAAAAAAAAAATCAGACACTGCACCTACGGAGATGATTCGTGCGCACCGTCCCTGTTTAGTTCCGTAAGTTCCCGGTTCTTCTCCCCCCTCCACTCCGTTGTGCAGCCGCTTCCAAGCTGGAGGAATCGGAACAGCAGGGCCGGTGAAGTTGCTGTAACTCTCGAAATGATCGGGATGCGCCCCCTTTTTTTTTTATTTTTTATCCTGTGGATGTAGTACAGTGCAGCTTTATCCCGCTATGCGCACCGCCCCGCTGATCTGCCACCACAGTGTGCTGCCGACTATCGCTGACGCTTTGGGAGAGAGATCGGGATCGAGTGACGTTGTGCAAAGGGAGGAGCCTGGATTGTCCTGCAAAAAAAAAAAAAAAAAAGCAAATGCATCGTTTGGGAAAAACTACAGCAGCGTCCTACAGCGAGGGAGCCGCAACTTTTCTTGCGCGTCGAGGGTCGTAAAAAAAAAAAAATGGCACGCTTTGGAGCAGAGGGTGGTCCTATCGTGCGTAAAATGCAAAGGAATTGATCCGTCGAATACGAGTGGATGTGGATGTGGGAAGAGGACAAACAGCAGAGCCTGAGCAGCCATGCTGGAGTGAAACTATTCAATATTCAGGCTGTTTAACATCCAAATTAGGGCCCGAAACTTTTGGTCACTTGATTTCCTGTCTGCTGGGAAAAAGAGAGAAGTAAGAATCAAAACCAAAAAATAAATAAAGGAGAGCCTAACTGGTGTACTAAGAGCATTAAACCCCTACTTTTCAGAGTCAATGTTATTGTTGGCTTTCCTCCATTTTCTAGCAAAATAAAATAATCAAACTATAGTTTACTCAATCGAATGGCACCATAATGAAATTAAATGGAATCTCTCTAATGTCCATGGATCACATTTCCTGGCAGCGAAACCCGCAAACAAAACAGCTACATCAATTATAACACTGTTAACTTTCAATGATTAAATAATTAAGACAGTGTAGTATTCTTTTTTGTTGCTGGGAACCAGCATTGACGCCTGCAGCAATATAAAAACCCCCAGACCTCATGCGAGCCACAAAATAGCAAAATTGCAGGCAGTGAAAGCTGAATTACGATCCAGATAGTAATCCATACACACAGCATTACTCGCGGTGAGTTAAATTAAAAACAGAGGAAGTGACACTGGAGGAAGGATTTTCTTAGGATGATCTTGCAGGCAAAAATGACTCACTCTGTGTGTGTGTGTGCATTGGGAGGAGGAGGAGGAGGAGGAGATCTATTTTACCTCCCGAGCCAACTGTGAGAGCTGACTAACCTCCCTTCACCCCCTTTTCCTTCCTCTTTTCACTCCTCGGCCAGCTCATCCTTTTGTCCAGAAGCGACCAAACAGGATCAGGCCTGTTTAAAAAAGCGCTGGGCCGGCCGGGAATGGGGAGGATGGATGTGATAACACTTCCCTCTTGTGGACAGTACTTCTGCAGATAATTACACCAGACCAGGAGTAACATGCTTAATGATGGTCGATTCTCCAGGTTTGTATGTGGTCAGAAACCCCCTCCTTCCTCTCTCTTTGGCCGTGATCTATGCCCGGCGGCACAGAATTATCTGCTGAACAGCGAGAGGAATTACCTGGCATGACAAAAGAGCCGATTGGTTATTAGGGTCAGTGCGGCGGCGACATAAATCATACTGTACACAATGGAGAAACCAAATGCGGCACAACACTATCCTCTCCAGGTGAATGATGTGCCGTTAATAAACACGCCAAGAAATCCTGCTAAATGCAACAAGAGCGGAGTGGCGCGTTCCTACTGGGGAAGCACACAGATAAACTCGAGACTTGACATTTTGTTTCGTCAAAAGGAAAAACAAAAGCTGCTTGAAATTCCGCACGCTTACCCCCAAAGTAATGGTTTCAACCAAATGTAATCTTGTCAGCTGCATGTACTGCGCAGTGTGCAGCTGAAATGTATTACTGTCTATTGACTCGGGCACATGCTGAAAGTGGGAAATTCATCAAGATAGCAGGAGTATTTTCCGGGGGCTATGAATAAAATATACAGTATGAATTAACAATGTCAATTCTGCACTAGTTTTTATATTTGGAAGATAATCACTTTACTTCATAAACCTTGAAAGGTCAGAGCAGCCTGGAGGTATTGAGGGATGGGAGGTAGTCTCAATCTGATAGACTTGGAATATTTAGGTATGGGAGGGAGAGGGAGGGAAAGGAAACGCCAAATCATTTCCTGCAAGGACGACCACCTTAAGCGTGCCCCTGAGCAAGGCATTCGCTTCCAGAGGCAAGCACTTGAAAGTGAGTCGAAACCCGGCTGACAAAAAGCCTCCATGCTTGGCCAAACTTCCCCGTGACAGATAATGGGTAAAAAAAAAAGAAAAAAAAACTCCAGGTTTGCCCCTTGCCTTTGGTGCATTAACTCCGATGCCCCCTCCATCGAGCGGCCGAGGTGATTGATTTACAGGCGAGCTGATGAAATTTGATACACTTGTTCTGAACTACAGCTTGTGCCAGAGCTCAAGGCTGTGAAGATTCGGGAGCCGTCCTGCATGATAATGTACGTTTGGAGACGCATGAGGAGGGGGAGGAAAAAAAAAAAAAAGGTAGCAACGGCAAAATTGCAGGGGAAGGTTTTCCTTTGATTAATAGATAAATGTCAAGTAAATGGTGATGATGCATTTCACTGCGGAGAGAAAAAGCAACTGATGTTTTGCTGATGACAGTGTTACAGCAGTATTTTAAGATAAAAAGGCAGTGACACGGTTGCTTGATTATTTCTTGAGAAATTACCGCATTTAGACGCATTTGCCTTTCACAACAAAAGCATCGACAGGCTGCGGGAGTTACAAACAGGAAAAATATCACCAGATTGTCTTTTATTATGTGATGTTTTTCTGCCATTATCAAGAATCATTTGGTGACTTTCAGTGTCAGATTTTGGAGAATGATCCCCACAGTGTGGTTGAAAGTTTCTTTTTTTTCGCAATTTTCTGAACCAAAATTGAAATGAAAACGAAATAATTTACAACCCAAACAGCTCAACAGAGACATAAAACTGCACAGAAAAACAACCCAACTGGCTCAACTTCCATCATATATCAGCAACCGTGACACGGGGCGTGAGTCTGATCCGCTCCGGTCCCACATTCTGTCTTCACCCACAGCTCGTGATGCAAACGTTGATTTACACAACGTTGTTGGTGACCTAATGTAAGCTGTCAACAAACTTGCAATTGTGAGCGCACACACACAAAAAATGATGGCAGAACTTTGGCAAAGTGCTGATGAGCAAAACAGAATCAGCCGTCCGGAATAGCATGAAATCTGCATTGGGCCCGACCCAAGTCTGCCTCCCTGGAGAGCAGACGAGTCTTTTGATCCAAAAACTGAGAGCTTCCCTGCCCTGAAAAACATCTGATAGAGAAATCTTTGCCCCTGTCGACGGATCGTCTCAACGAAGACAATCCTGCGATGAGGAATTAAACTTAACGTCGATCTCTGAACACACAGAACCCTTCTATTATACAGTATTTTAACTGGAAGGTAACTGAATACAGCATTTTAACTCTTGCTAGGCTGCTGCTAACTGATGCCATGCAATTATTTTTGGATGGCAATCCCTCACCAAATTGAAATCTACATGCCCCACATAGATGGCTGTAGAAGACATCCTGATCAAGGTCCCGTTTACACGTAGGTATTTACAAAAACGGATCTACGTTTTCAAAAATAACACTGTTCACACTAGATCGTTTTCAAAAAAATCTTTGTTTACACAAACCCAACCAAAGAGCTGCTATGAGCATGCCAACCCTATAGGGGGCAGTGTAATGACAAGCATAAAGCCATGCTAGCCAATCAGAAAAAAACTCAACCACGAATGGCACGAATGACTTCCTGTCAACGATTATGGTGCGAGGGTCATTTGTTTGGACTGACAGACAAGTGTAGCTACTCCTAAATGTGGTGTTAGCGTACAAAGCAAGTCAAATACGTGAAAATATTGATGGGAAACATGTCAGTCCAGCTACATGGACATATTGGCACTGTTTTTACAAGAGTATTCAGCGGGATCACACAAATAAGACGCTGATGACGCTTTTGTCGCACACTGTGATGTCAAACTCCGTCTCCATGCAAAAGTAAAGATGGAGTTTTTCCAAATCTCCACTTTGACCGGAGTTTTCAGATATGATCGTTTTCGGTGACTCGTAGCTTCGTTTACGTGTAAACCAAAGGCCCAACTGAAATATCACCATTTTTTCTACGTGTAAACGGAGTCTAAATCTCCCAACAGTTGATAGACAGGAACATAAATGGTTATAAATAATATGTAGTCTTAGAGAGTCCTACTCATTGCACCCAAAGATGGACCCAACCGAGCCACATCCTAACTTCTGATTTCTGTGAACTTAAAGCAGTCGACACAAGTCACACCAGAAGAGCTCACCAACATCAACTGGACAAAAAAAAAAAACAAGAAGACTCTTAACAGAGGAGAAAAGCCACCAGACTGCAGTGAGGAAGCTAATCTACTTCACAGTGAACGGAAGAAGGTCTTATCTTATACAAGGTGGTTAAACCTTACAGTGTTTTTATTGACAGTGTATTATCTTCTTCTTCCGGTACAAATCAAAGGGAGAAAGTGGCTCTCTGAGCATTTCCAACATGTACTTGGAAATCACTAGAAGCAGAAAATGGAAAGTCTTGGGGAGGCTTAACTCTCACTAGACCCCGAGAGAAGCCCAGAAAATGTCAGATGAGAAGTGATCCGACCAACTTTCCCATTTGTTAACCCAGAATTGGACAAATTGAAAAGAAAATACCTCCGTGGCCGAAGATAAATAGCTTTATTAGCTTTCTAACGCTGCGTTTTAAATATATACGTTTGAGACCCTCCCGGTCGGCACTTCAACGGGACAAACATGCACGTTGGAAACATTTGGACTCCAGTGGTGCATCCGCATTTAATAAAATACCTTGAACTGTCCCGCGCTGGATAAATAATGTGAAATAAGCTGGAAGTAAATTCAACCTTTAACGGGTCTCTGTGTGTTTGCAGACAGAAAATGTTAACAACTAAGACTGTAGCTCATCGTGTTCAGCGCCTTTATGACCGTGATCCGAGGTCACCCACATTAATTCGTATAATTTTAAGAATAATACGCCACCTTTAAACTTACCGGATGACTATTTTTCGCTATAAAATCTCTTTAGGAAAAGGTATAAAAACTTAGCTTCTCTTAAAGCA